GTGCTGGATGGCTGCGCAGTCTCGTGGAGGAAGTACAGCCAGAGACGGCAGAGTATGGTATCAGCAGCTTTGTGTACCGCTCGCGCCGCCCCTTTCATCCCGAGCGTCTGTGGAACACGATACGCCAGTGCTTTGTCGTGATCCAGGAAGAATTTATTGATGACGGCGTTGAGCCTGAGGATGCCACCAAGGAGGGAGCAGAAGATATGGAGTCTGAGGATGCCACGCACGATGCTGCGGAGGATAATGATGCTCAGCCGGCGCTGCATCCCGAGGCGCGCCTGCAGTGCAAGCGTGACTCGGCTGTATGGAGCCCGCTTCTGCGCTCCAAGGGCTTCTTGTGGCTGGCGACGCGCCCACTTTTGTTTGGCGAGTGGTCTCAGGCCGGCATTATGCTCACTCTTACCGGTGGTGCTCGTTGGCGCTGTGAAGTGCCGGACGAAGAGTGGCCTGAGGATGAGGAGATTTGTGCGGCCATTCGTCGTGACTTTGATCCGTCGACACCGTGGGGCGACCGTCGCCAAGAGCTAGTATTTATCGGACGCGGCATTGACCACAAGTTGATCACAGAGACGATGGACAAGTGCCTGCTGAACGACGAAGAATGGGCGCAGTGGGTCGATGTCATGAGCCGCAAGGACGTGTCGATCGAGGACAAGCAAAACATGCTTGTGGACATTTTCGACGATGGATTCGAAGACTGGGTCGATGGCGAGGCCGTAGACCATGACCATGATCATGATCATGACATGGACGAGTCCTAACTAGAGGACTCCGGCAGCCACCGACACCATGACGCCCAGTGCGACCAACAAAAGTGCTCCCGTGACACTGGCGAGCACAAAGACTAGCGCATGTAAGACATAGATTCCGTACATACCTTCGACGCGACTCGGAATGAAACGACCACGAATTAAGCTGTGCTGTGTGTGGAAAAAGCGAACTGTGCCACAAAGCAGGGCGAGGATGCCAAAGCCCACAAACAGAATACCGATAGGCGATCCAAGACGCTGTAATGTACGCATCCTAAAACGACCGCCCGAAAATGGCGTCCCTTCAACAGGCGTCGACGCCCATGAAAAGAGACGCTGAGACGAGGTACCCCGGTCCAGAATCAGCTCAGGCAGGCGGAACAGTTGCGCAATCGCAATACCGATACTAACGAGAGTCAGCGACGTACGCATCCATGCAAGAAATGTGCGCTCCAGCGCGAGATGATCACGCCCCACAGACCCCTTGTTTTCCAGCTCATACCACAGCTTCATCGTAGAATAAGGCCCAGATCGTGAAGGAAGGTCGCTGGGCCCGATCTGGGCCCGATGCTTGAGTGCACGGATCGGCTGAGTCAACACGAGGGTCCACTGACGACCATGTCTTTCCCATGGTACGCCAGATCAATCGTGAAGTACAAGAGCCCGCATCCGCAGGACTTATCTTTTCCTAAGGATCAGGACCTGCGCGTGCTGGGATATGCCGATCGTGGTGCTGAGGAGGAGGAAGCCGAGGAAGAAGACGATCGTTGGTATGTCGGAGAGTGGCTCGATGGATCGCGTCAGGGGCAGTTTCCAGCAAGTCTAGTGGTGCGCATCAATTCTGAAGAGGCAGATGTGCCTCACTCACCGGTGCTGCCTGCAGAAGAGCCCATTTCCGCGCCTAAAGACATTTCCAACGAGGATGCATCTAGCGTGGCCCCAGAACACGTGCAAGAAAAGGCGCCGGTGAATGCTGAAGAGCCACAAGAAAAGGTGCCTGTAGAAGGGGTACAAGAACTTGTACACGGGGAAGCATCAGGAAGCGCTGAGCAGCCACAAGAAAAGGTGCCTGTAGAAGGGGTACAAGAACTTGTACACGGGGAAGCATCAGGAAGCGCTGAGCAGCCACAAGAAAAGGTGCAAGTCAAAGAGGTCACTGTTGAACCGGAGGTTGCCAGGACGGTCCCAATAGAGCAGCCCATGGTTCAGGAGGTACATGCCGAGAAAATGCCCCAAGATTCAGAACGTGTAGAACCAGAGCCATGTAACGAGGTTATGGCACCACTTCAGGAACAAGCCCCTGCACCTATCACGCCGACCCTGAGCGAATCTGTGCCCGAAACACAAGCATCAGCCACTTTGCCCTTCCATTCCCCCAAGGACACTCCTGCTGAGCCAACGCAAGATCATGCTGCGCCAAGTTCGACGACAGATGCACAGGTAGCGGAGCCATCTATTGACCCGAGTGCCATGTCGCTTCGTGACCGTATTGCCGCGTTTAACAAGCCTGTGGAAAAAGGCCCACCACCGCCCCTTCCGCGTGGCAAGCCTGGCAGCTGGAAGCGGACGGTACCTGCAAATGTGGCACCAAAACATGTGGATGCCAGAACAGATGCTGCTCCGAGCACAATGAGTGCTTCGGATGCACAGAGCAGTATCAAGATGAGCCTGAAAGAGCGCATGTCGGCGCTGCAACGTAACGAAGAAGCAATTGCTCGCCCTGCTCTTACGAAAGAGCGCCAAACTCCTTCAAAGCTGACGAATTCTCTTCCCGCTGAGCCGTCCGGCGAAGATGCCGAACACCGCGCTTCGATTGCAAGGCGAATGGCGGCACTCGGTGGTCGTCGTGTTGAGCCGGGTCTCTTTGGCATTTTGCCCAAGGCCGAGGCTCCGAAGCAGAAGGATCAGGAAGACGCCAGCGAGCAGGACGCCAGCGAGAAGGCGAAGAGCCAAGATTCGCAAGCCATGGTGGCCTCAACGGGCGAGGCACCATTAGTGGTGCCTCGTCGACCTGTTGCTCCGCGAACACGTCGTATAAAACCTGCTCAAGAGCCTGCCAAGGTATCAGAGAATAGTGAGGTGCATCATTCGACTGAGCGGCAGATACCAGCATTCGAATCTGCTACGGATCCGCCCGCACCTCCCATGGACGAAGGGGCATCGACTGTGGAATCTTCAGCATCATGTAAGGCTGGTGAAGAATGCCGTGAGGGCGGGCTAGTGACGCATAAGGAGCCTGAAGAGGCACCAGCTGCTCACAACGAACATTTGTCTATGTCAGAGGGTGAAGTGGGCAGCGAAAAATCTGTCCCCCCTCGTGAGACTACTGAATCATGTGTGCCTGCTCAACAAGAGGCTCTGGCGCTGCCACCGTCTGATCCATCGTCCACAAAACCCGTGCAGCCATCTTCTGAGGCTCTGCCCGCGCCTTACAAGGCAGATCAAGGTGTTCTAAACGCATCTCTCACAGGATCTGTGGACACGCCAGAAGTAGAGCCAACAGAGCCACAGGTGCTGAAGACTCTGGTGCCGCCTATCCAAGAGCGAGAGGACACTCCCTTGCCATCGGAACATGACGTTTATTCTGGCATGCAAACTGTGTCTCCGGAGCAGCCTGCGATCCCTTCACCAACTGATCCCATCGAACATATCGCATATGCCATGTCGACCATGTCTGCCAGTAGTGGAGTAACAGAGGACTCGGACCCAGACTTTGCTGAGCAACATGCTCTGCTTGAGCATCTCTTACAACACCCAGGAGAGGCATCGTGTATTCGGCAGGAGCCTGTTTCATCCTTCCATGAACGAACACCCATGGCATCACCACCCATCATGGGCATGCCAATGCCCCCTCGTCGCTCCACTCACGATAACATCTCGCCTCTCTCACCCATGGAATACAATAAACCCTTTTCTTATACCAAATCGCCTGTGGGCACTGAAACGGCACCATCAACCCGGATGCCGCCTCGACCCACTCGCCGTGCACCTACACTGCCTGTGTCAGAAGACACACTTCCATCACCCCCTATCAAGCCCAGATTATCATCAAGCATCATCGATGTACCCATTCCTAACTCAGACGCACAAACTGAAGAGGCTACATCACCATCCAGCGCTGTTCCCGATCGACCTAGACGCGCTCCGCCTCGTGCGCCCTCCTCCGAGACTCCTACGTAGTGGTATAAATTGCCCTTTTTTGCTCCACACATCTGGTACCCTCTCGTCATGGTCCGGTTCAAAAATCGGTGGCTGCTACTGACGCTGGCGTCGGAGCCTATCCCAATACCCGATGACTACGGACATCAAATTCCTTTTGCTAATCGTGCCCCCAACGTGACGGCGCACGCCATCACGAAAGCCCTGCGCACGTCTCTACGTGTGAATTTTGGCGATGCGTCATCCGGTGCCTATGCCGGGCCACTCTTGTGCAAGTATTATTCCCCCAAGTCCGGCATTGGTATCGTACGCTGCGCAAGAGATGGTGTACGATATGTATGGGGCGCTGCTACTTTTCTCGACTCTATCGATGGTCACCGAGTGCGGATCTGCGTACGTTCCTGCGGTGGAACCATACGCAAAATCCAAAGAAAAGCTATCTCTATCGACAAGTTCTACATTCTGCGTCTTGAACAAGCAAAAATGCTTAATATAACTGCTCTTCGCCATGCTGCTGCCGAACTAGAAAAACCTACGGATACCATGGATGTACCAGATGATGACGTCGGTGTGCCTTTAGATGAAGACGATGATGCTGCCTCGTTTGACGACAATGCATCACTACCCTGCCTAGAAACGCAAGATATCCCATTGTCGGAGGAATGTAAAACACTCTTGGCGAAAAGCCAGTCTGACATTATGCAGGTGTCGCACTGAACAAGTCAGCTGTCTTGGTATTGATGTGAGCACACTTTCTCATCTGTCTTGTAGCCTTGTCTCGTTGGTGTAGTTGGTTATCACGTCGGTCTCATAATATGATCGCGCATGGCGCGAGTGGTTGATATCTGGAGGTCGCCAGTTCGATCCTGGCACGGGACATTTTTTCGTTGCATTTTTTTAACACTCCATGCTCACTTTCTGTACTATGGTGACATCCTTTGCTTACTCGCTGAAAGCAGTAATTGAAGTCATGCAAGCTACGTGATATGTATCGATGAAGCCAGACAAACGTCTGAATGTAGTCCATGTGTCATGGGATCAATGTGTCAAAATTAAAGCTGTTAGGTTCTTGCGTCACCCGATCAGATTGTCTCGTTGGTGTAGTTGGTTATCACGTCGGTCTCATAATATGATCGCGCATGGCGCGAATAATTGATATCTGGAGGTCGCCAGTTCGATCCTGGCACGGGACATTTTTTTTTCGTTGCATTTTTTTGGTTCCAGAAACTCGCAGCGAGGGTCAAGGACGCTGTAGCTGAGCTTATAGAAACACCACAACAAGCGTACGCCTTGAGGTTGCCACTCGGTACTCCCCCCGTTGGCGTAAGGTCAAGCCATGGTCGTATGATGATGACTCAGCATATATCAGGCACTGGCAAAAAGATCCAGCAGCTGCGCCACACTTACGTGACGCGCTGAAGATGCCACAGGAACATGGCACGAGCGCGCCAGCCGTGGACGCAGCCGCAAAAGACATACAGAATACGTCTCCATTGGGAATTCAAGAGCATATTGCGTCTCTCCTACACCAGTATCCCCAGGCTGTAACAGAAGTTGTCCTACTACCCACCAAAGACGGTCAACCAGTGATATCCCGCGATATATGGATCAGTGAGCACTTGAAGCGCATCCTCCGGGACATAAACGCACCGTGGGTCTCTGGTATACTAAATGAATGCCATAATAGCGACACATGTCATGCAATGCGTGCTGGTGAGGATACATACATTTGTCGTGCGCATGACGACGGACGTTTGTGTACTGCGCGTGAATACATTAGCCACACAATCGATGCAGCCTCAGAGCAGTTGCAGTCAACGAAGCCTATTTCAACCAGCGAGGGTATGCGGCTACCGCGACCATCCCATCAGCTCTTTTCTTTAGTGTGCAAGCAACTTGCACGTATCTTCTCCCACATATACCTGCATCATCACAATCTGTTTCAGCGCTGCGAGGAGACCACATCACTATATGCACGATTCAAAAGGCTCACTAAGACATTTGATCTTATGCCAGATGAGCTCCTGTTGATGTGATTACGGCGCTGATGCGGATGATGACGAAACGGCTTCTGTCCGGCCTGTCTGTTAGTTTCACCAAATGTACGTACATAGAGGACATGAATTCGAGTTATTTTCGAGCCACTGGTCGACGCATGATGCGTGAAATACATGCTTGCACGAAAGCACGCGACAGTCGTCGTCTTCCTGCCACTCATCCAGGCACACCAGGCACTTGTCCAGAGTGTTTTCTGTCACACGGCCCTCTCGGTGTAATGTAGCGATCTCTTTTGCTTTGACTTTTAACAGTCCACTGCGCTCAATGTCTGCAGCGGTCGTGGTCGGTCGCTTGTTACTCATGGCAGCAATCGTGCCAAGCAACTCCATCATAAACATTAGGTCACGTCCAGCGTCACGAGGACGTGACACCAAAAGGGGATGCTGTTCATGATATCGTCCGCCACTAACGAATAGCACGAATCGCGACACATCCGGCCGATTTCCGTCTCCATCCCGGGGCATGGCTTGGTCACCACCCATGAGGCGCTCGTCAGAACGCAGACTCCGAACGCCAACCATCACACACGGGATCAGAGATGAATCACTCGGTCGCTCGAAGCGGTGCAATCGGAAGAACGAAAGCTGGCCTAGCACAACATCACCATCTCGGCGAGAGCGCACATCCCCGGCAGTCTCGGATTCAACATCACTGCCATTCATCCGATGAATCGCAGCATTCAGGTCATCGAGCAATTCACGCAAAAATCGATCGAAAGATCCTGGTTCTCCATCCGCCAATGGCTCATTTTGTCTTGCACTTTCCAGTGTAGATAAAACAGAAGAAATTGTTTCATTGTTGGTATTGCGGGCTGATGCCGAACGATTCCCCTGCGGCGGTGGCGAAGATCCACGTTGCGGCAAGGAAGCACGCAGCGCGTCACGCATGAGACGGGAAATGTTGGATACGGTCTCAGAATCAGACTGAGTATCTCGGTCCCGCGATACATAGGAGCGGCGCGTAGCCTGACGACTGGCCATGAGCCGATTCAGCAGCTCGCGACCGAAATTGGATTCGCCGGTGTCGGCACGATTTTGGGGTGTCTCAGAAGGAGGAGTCTGATTTTGTGGCGATCCTTGCGGCGGTGCTGCGAACGCCGTCGATGCCATCGTGGGGTTGACTGATGCTTGGTTTACGACAGAGGCTGCTGTGGCTGCAGCTGCAATTCGCAAGATACGACCTAACATCTCGCCCTGTTCAGCCAGTGTTGCCACATGGGGTATATCTGAGTCTGTTGAGCCGTTGGACTCCGTGTGAGCATTAGAGGTGCCTAAACTTGGTCCACGCTCAGATGCCGAATCATTCGTAGGTGTTTGAGTGTTATCAGTACCTTGGGAAGCCGATGTACGCGCCACGAGAGCTCCTTGCACAATGACCGATGTGCCAGATAACGGCGCACCAGGTGCTCCGGGCGCACCGGCTCCGGGCTCGCCACGAGTCGCACCTAGCACCTCCGAGAGTAATGTGCCGAGAGTCGATGTTGGCCGGCCCCCTGGCGTATTTTCGGGTCTGGGGAATCGCGAAGGACGCGACCTATACGTGCCGGACAAAGACGACGGGTCGATACTAGGATGATGTGGCGGCGCGGGCCTGGGCCCAAGAACGCGCTCGATAAGACCGACAGCTTCTTGGCGTTCAGCAGCAAGGGGATCAGGATTGGGAATCGATGTGCTTGTGTCATGAGAGAGGTTCGTGTCGTTGGCTGTGTGTCGTGATGAAATAGAAGGGTCAAGGTCAGAGTTATTAGATGGAAGTCGCCTTCTGCTAGATAAAGACCCGAGGGTGCGTTGAACCCATCCTGAACGTCGCACTGACCCATTTTCTAATGCTCTCTCTTCATCCACGTCCATGTGCTCATCATCCACCCCCCTTTGTACTGACAAGAGACGGCGGCGGCGAAGCCCACGCTCTTGGTGTTCTTCTCCACTGTCGTCGTCCTCACGCGTACGTCGAGCAGGTATTGTGGAAGGCGGCATGCCTTCCTCCTGCCGCTGAACACGCTCGCGACGTTCGCGCACACTACGTGAGTGAGCAGCTCCCATCGTGAGTCAGTGTTGGACTGAAGATACTCAGCCACTGAATCCATGGTTCTTATATACTCGCCTATCACGTGCTGGCAGCGTCATGGGGCACCGCCGCGGTGCTGACGCAATCGCTCGTATGGTGAAGCACAGGCCAACAGCCACTACCCTTTGGCATCATGCAATCGCCGCTGATTGCACTGCCGCTTAAAGAAACCAAGCCTGTCGACCTTGTTAAACCATTGCAAAATCTGATAATACAGAATTATGAGCAGAGTCCTGCATCATACATGAGTGAACTCCAACGCATATCTCAGGCGCGTCAGGACGCCACAGGCCAAGCAAGCACCGAAAGCTTAGGTCGTGATCTACTCTTTCGATACTTTCACATAATTGAAATGCTTGAACTACGGTTTCCAGAATTGGAGGCGCCGTTCGTATGGCTTGATTCGTTCACACATACGCCTATTGAGCAAAGGACCACGGCGTACGAAAAGGCTTGTATCCTTTACAACACCGCAGCACAAATCACGCGTGTTTCCATGCAGCTGAACCGCAGTGACAGCAGCACAGACGCTTTGAAACGAGCGTATACAGGTTTTCGACAGGCAGCTGGTCTGCTGCAGTACATCAAGAACAATTTTATGTATGCGCCCAGTGACGATATGAAAGGCCCGGCACTTGAATCGCTGAGCAAGCTTTTGCTTGCTCAAGCATCAGAAATATTTCTCGAAAAAAGCATTCATGATGCAAAAGGTGAAGCGCTCATTGCCAAGCTGGCAAGCCATACGGCGTACACGTATTCGGCCCTGTCTGTTGAGTGGAATGACATGGACACTTTGCGTGTCCCTGCCATGTGGTGCCGTATCGTGGCATGCAAGGCGGATCATTTTATGTCTGTCGCGCATTTATATCGAGCCAAAGCAGATCGCGCTGCAGGAAAGCATGGGGAAGCGCTCACGCGGTTCCGCCACGCCCTGAGTAAGGCACAGGCTGCATCGAATCTCACATTCCTTGATACGTGGTCGTTTGCGACGTACCTCCGAAGTACGGCACCATCTGATGTTTCGGAATCGCTGCATCATCTAGTTTCTACCCAGATAACGAATGCTTCAGAGGCATGTCGTGAAGCCGAACGAGACAATGACTTGGTATACCATGAACGGGCCCCTGAGTTGGATACGCTGCCGCTCATAGATCAGGTGTCTATGGCAACAGCAATCCCTATACGTGATGTATTTTCACAGCCCGATATTCAAAGAGTACTGGGCGGTGATGTTTTAACGAGCCTCATTCCTCTAGAGGTCTTGAAAAACACATCTGTCTACACCGAAGAGCAAGCCAAGATGGTTCGTGCCGAGTCGACGCGTATTTGCGACGCCAATGATCGCATCAATGAGGCCATCTCGGCTCTGTCTCTGCCGCATGCGCTAGATCGATACGCAGCTCTCGATGGCAAGCCCATTCCATCATGCGTACCGTCCCAGCAGGTGCTTGATATATGTGAAGAGGCCACGGCCAGTAACATTATAAGCCGTGTTGAACGAGTGCTGGGGTCGTTGCCAAAACAAGCACCCATGATTGAAGCGACCTTGAGCGATGCAATGGCCGATCTTGATACAGACGCACGCGAGTGTGAGCATGGCCGCGTCAAGCATGCAGCGTCGTGGTCGCAAGCCCCGACTGCGAGTGTCTCTCGTTCGTTACGTCGTGACATTCACGCCGCACGCGATGCATTAGCAACCGCGCGCGAGAACGACAAGGGTATCATTCAGCTATGGAGCGATATTCGCGACGATATGGCGCTATTATGCCAGGGACGTGAGGCAGTGGAACATGCTTACTCGCAACACGTTGGCCTTTCTTCGTCCGTGGACTTGTTGGATCATGATTTCTCGGACCCAGAGCCGGCGCGTACGCTGTTACATGAGACACATGCACAGATCCATGCACTGCTGAGCATGCCGCACGAGCGTGAAGCTATGTTGCAAGAGCTCAAGCGCCAGGTTCAAAATGATGACATCTCACGCTCCCTTCTCCTGCACCGCTGCGTTCAGCACATGGAAGAAGCGATGTTTGCTCAAGAGTTGAAGAAATATGCACCGATGCAGCAA